AGTGTCTGATAAGCTTTTACCATGGATGCATGCATGTGCATCAAACACACAAGAAAAGTGCTGATGTTCGTAGCTGTGAACACGGCACTGTCTTTCGGATTTTGGCAAATCAACTAACAACAGTGAACCACTTATTATATAGACAGGTACACTGCTGGTGAGTGACAGTAATGAGAAAATTTGCTTTGTACCCATTAATTCTTATTTGTTGGCACAAAACGTTTGCATGTCACTGGAAAACAAATGAACTGAGGCTGTGAAACCAGCATCACTGGGATAACAGCTTCAATTCACTGAGCGAGCAGTGCAAAGACATTAGTAACAAGAACAATTACAAACATTATCTCTGCAAAATCTAATCTATATCAAATAATTTCCTGTTATCGTGCAAGAACTTTCTGTCCGTCTTCTTGCTGAAGAAACTCTGAGGGCACAGAAATGATGTCTTCATGACCGAGTTTTTTTATTTTTGGATGGATTTAGCCTTGTGGGAAAATCTTCTCAGAATCCTGAGAAATTTCTGTCGCCACTGGGAGCAACTCGAGGTATTAGGCGGCGTTATGAAGTTTTCTCTTACCTGAGTCCTGAGCAAGTGCTGACAGCAACGCTGGAACCCTCCATGCCCACAACCTCGCCGTGGTAGAAACAGTGTCCCTGGAAGGCAAATTCATAATTCAACACACAGCTCTCCGTGTAGGGAAACAGAGTGATTCAGTGGCAAGAGAGTCCGTCATTCAACCATAAGACCTTTTTATGTAAGCATAAACCGCAGCGTATTATGTCACTGACTGCGTCTCATCCTCCTACATTGGATTGAATCGACAGCACTGATGTCAATCTGTCTTTAAATTATTATTTGCAACTCCCCTCTGCAGTTTAAGGACATCAAACTGTCTCATAGACTTACAGTGTTGGCGGGTGAAGAGGACTTGCGAGCTCCAGCCGGCGTGTACCATATTTCCTGATATCCAGGAGCCAACAGCTGCCTGGGAAAAGTCAACACAAACTCAGGGACAGCAGAATATATGACACAATCTATGGAGACAGCAACAAAACACTGGTGTAATGGTGAAATATATATATATATATATGTATATACTGTCTACGTAATGAGTAAAAGCTGCAGGAACTGTGGAGATAGAAGAGAGACAGATTCTCTCCAGCAGCCCACAGCTCATAAAACATTCATTCTGACAGAGACACACTACGAAACCAAACTGCCTTAAAGATTTAGACTCAAAGATCCTCTCAGAGATAAGAAAACACACAGAAGAATGTGGAAAGAGTGTTGTAATAAAACCCATATGGACCTTTTCACTTCCCGGAGAAGTATGGCTGAAGTAATGGATGATAACTTTCCCGTGCTGTTAGTTTAAATTATTGGCATGTCCAGAGCACATTTGTTTGACAGGGCTGTTAGTTCTCCATGTTTTTTTTTAGTGTATTGAAATTTCTCAATACATACAAGACCAGACAGATTGCACAGGAGAGGCTGATAAATCAGGCCAGCATGCACTTATCTAAAGCAGCATTAATTTGATTTAGGTAAAACACTCTATAAATCTTATTCTCCATCTGTGTGTGTGTAGATTTGAGTGAGTGTGTTTGGGTTGAGCCAAATGTTCATGCTTGTTTTCCTGTCTTTTAACTTCCAGCTTGGTCTCAATCCATTCTTCCTGTTTTCATTCATAAACTTTGTCTGTCTTGCAGCTGGTTTTCTTTCGCTCCGACCCTCTAAACCTCCTCTCATCACTGACACAGATCCATCAAAAGGGCTGCAGCTGTAATGAAGTCAGCCTGCAGAGAAACCCACATGTATCTAATGATGCTGGTCAAAGTAGTGGATTTGACTCTAACTAACATTAGATAAATGCAGGACATTACTGGCTTCATCATCTATAATATATTTTAATTTACTTTTCATTTTATTATCTTGTGGCTTCACCTTGGGGTAAGAGTAATGGCAAAATGATGCCATGTTTATTTCATTCTTTAGAGGTGTGCTGTAGCATATCCCGGCTGACAGAGGGTAAGAGGCAGGGTATACTCGAGAAAGATCGCAGTTCCATCATAGACAACCAGACAACATCAACTAACCTGCCATGCATGTCTTTGGACTGTGGGAACAAGCTCAAACACTTAGAGAGCATGCAAACTCCACACAGAAAGCCGACCAATGGTTCTTGTGTCGCTATGGGATACAATCACCAATCATGGAGGTTCACTGTCCAAAAACAAACCAACCACCTGAAGTGACAAAGGGGCCTCTTACGCCCCTATATAACTGTGCATTCTCAACGTATTTCTTCTAAACACTGATGCAATCTGGGAAGTTCTGCTAGATATATGCCTCAGCTTTCAGGGAACCTGGGTTACCTTTAGTATTCAAATGGTTTGCAGTGAGGCAACAGTGCCCCATCGTGCCACTTACATAGTAAATGAACATTTAAAAAACTGGTGGAAATACGTTTATTTGATTTCTTTGTGAAAGTTAAATAAGAAGGTCTATAGCAAGGAGCTGCCATAAAACGTCTCTGTCCAAAGGTGTCAAAATCCACCATCAGTTAAAACACTGCACAGCTAGTTGGTTTAATCAACCAAAAAACAGAAATGTAACACTGATAAATCTTGGTTTTAGATGTGATTATGTGCAAAAATATTTTAGAACTACTCACTACGACTCTGCATTTTTTTGTACATGTTACCCAAATGACATAAAATAGCTTAATTAATGAATTTCAGAGTTACAGGTTTATACTACTGTTAGTCAGACTAGCTGTTTCTCCTGTTTTCCAGCCTTCCTACTTAACAAGCCAACTGCTGCCTCCAGCTTCCCATTCACACACACTCACAAGAGTGGCATCTCTATCTAACTATCTTTAAGACATTTCCCAACATGTCAAACCGCTTCTTTCAAGGATGATGAAGACAAGTGAAGGGAAGATGGGAATTTTTCTTTTCTCTCCCATCAGATAGCCTGAGGGAGACAAGCCACTTGAAACAATGACAGCCTGTTGATGCGATCTGCAACAAAGCAAGTCAAAGACAGAAAACCGACTGCCTCATCCTTTAAACAGATTTTGACTCACTGGGAGGAAGGGCTGTGCTTTCACATACGAGTCTTAGAAAGGACTTAAAATTGATCGGTTGGTGGTTATGTATCCGGCTGATACGCGGGGTAACTCCCGACATGTTCGGGTTTGACCTTCTAGCCTCATTTATATCTGGCCTTCCTCCATAGCTTTCCAGCTTCTCTTACTTCTTAAATATTCCCACCACGCTCTCTTCTCATCTCTGTCGCTCTAACAGGCAGAATTAATGGCAGAATAGCTTGAGATTGACTGAACTTTTACCCTGCTGCTTTTCCACAGTCATTATACACGAAGGGCAATCGCTTCTTCCATGAGAGAAACACGTAATGACTCCTCGGTTCTCCCTTATCCTCACATGCCAGTCAGCGGCTCTATTTCTGAGCTAAACTGTGCTGACTTACTAGTCCTTGGGGATCACAGAGTGTGTACACTGCTAGATGTATGGCCATATAACCTGCCACCATGTGACATGTAGACACAACATGCCGTTAACAAAGCCATAAAATCGGCACTTAAAGGATAACCATGCCACCGTGAATTTTAATGAAAAGTCGACGTTCTGGTGCAGCTACTGTCGAGCAGGCTGAAGGTTGCGTACGATTAAACACTATTTATGTAATTATTGCACCCACTTATGCATACATCTATTTGATTTACTGCAGTGGAAGTAACTTCTATAACAACCGTTTCCTCAACCATTTTTAAACAACCACTTAAATCTTTAAATGGCCTCGCTCCGCCCCGCCCTACCTCTCTGAGCTTCTTTACCCCTACGCCCCTGCACGGTACCTCCGGTTAGCTGATCAGCTGTTCCTTGAGGAGGAGGGGACTGTCTGTTTTTCAAACCAACCTCAAAACCCACTTTTATTCACTGGCTTTTAACCTTAGCATGAGACCTCGCTCTGTTTTAGTTGTTTTTATTTGCGCTTTGCTGTTTTTATTGTTGTTGTTCTAGCTGTGGCTGTTCTAAAGCGCTTTATAAATAAAGCTGATTTGATTTGATTTGAACATCCGTTATAGTTGCACCAAGCCTTCATTGATTCAATCTGTTAAGAGGAGAATTTCAGGTGAACATTGCCTGAAGAAACAACCACAAAAACCACCAAAAATAACAACTTCTGGGTGTGGTCCAACTGATGAGTTTCATTTTGACTCATTGGTGTCTCCAGATGTTAGCAGGCAGGTGCACAGTAAGGGAGGAAAAAATGAAAACCGCTCAAGTGAAGAGACCACTAGCTGAAAAAATAGGACAACTGAAATGTAAAGATCATCAGGATATTAATTTGTCTGCTAGCTGTTTGAACGTATTATTTGAACCAAGGGTATCAGAGAGGACTTTCTCCTCCAGAAAGCCTTCTTAATCCACATTCGATTGCACTAACTACACTACTGCTTTTAAATCTATATTGACAGATGAAATTATATTTGTTTCCACATTATAGTTGTGTATGAAAATCCACATGCACATATTAAAAAAAGGCCACTGAAATCTCCAAGAGTCAAAGGTGATATCTTCAGATTTCTTTTCTGATATTAATAACAGTTATGTTTGCGTTAAAGCGGCAACTTTTCACATTTTGTAGGATGGTAGCTACCAGTGTTTTAAATTTCTGCTTGATAAATGACAATTGTTTTAAAACTTGCTGCTGATTTCTTTTATTTTTTGATGGATTAATTGTTGGATCAAGCGGTCATTTCAGCTCCACATACAAAATTAATAAAGATAATGATGCCTTTGATAAATGAAAGTGGACAAAATCTGGCGGTTGGATATATTAAATTAGCAAAAATGCTTGTTTCTACACTCACTTCTGCTCTCAAAGCCAGTCCTAACTTGGCCAGCAACAGTCGGCGTAAACTTAATCTCGCTGCCAAGTCTCGGGGTCAACGAGTGTAAAACTCCGCAGCAACACTTCTGGAGTATCACAAAGCTTTAAGCCTAATTGTAATTCTGGTAAATACTGTGAAAGCTTTCAAATCACGACTGTAAAAACGCTCTGTGCGATGGCTGGAGCGCTCGACAACGTTTGGATGTCGTCCAGCGTCCGGACAGACGCTGTGATTGAGGAGAGTAACGCTGGCTGACATCAGGACTGTCTGGCAGTGAGGCTGAGACAAAGGCTCGGTTCATCCTCTGGAGGAGAAAGAAAGAAAGGGGTGGGGGAGTAATGCTAATGTACTTTGGAGATAGTGAAGAGGGGGGCAGAGAATGGGATGTGGGGTAATGCATTGGGGTCAGTGGGTCGCATTCTCTCATAGTATCGGATGACATCACCACACAGGGTTTGAGGGAGACGGCTGATGCAAAGTCAAAGTACCACTCAGCAACAGATGATGAAGAGGCTTTTATTGCGAAGGGGAAGGCTAGCGAGGCGCGCACAGAGGCTAACACAGAGGCCCTCAGCATAACATCTAAGCAGACAGGACTGCGCCGCTGCGAGACTAAACATAGACACCAGGGAAACAAGGACAAAGCGAATGCATCCCCGGCTCTCTGCTCCCTGGACCTGCAATCCATCACATCTGTGCTTTGAGTCTTATTTGTGTTCTTTCGGGGGCTGCTGTGTGCACTAGTGTATCAGTGTGTGTCATCTGTCTGCGTGTGGCCGCAGTCTCCCAAAACCCAGAGAGCGCGTGGGAGATGTATATTTGTCCTGGAGCCCTGGGGAATATCACACGAGGTGAGAGGAGGAAAGAAATGAGGAAGAACCGAGGTGCTCGTTTTTTTTTTTTTTAAAGCCGGACAGTGGAAGAGATATGGGGTGAGGAGAGGAGACGAGAGGAGAAGGAAAGGAGAGGAGAAACAATACTGCGTGCATTTCCCAAGGGAGTGCTTAATTCAGGTTCATGCACTTAAGGGTGTGCAGGAAGGGCATTAAGCAGGAGAACAGGGAAAGTCATGCGGAGGAGGAAGCAAGAATATCCGCACGATTCATATCTGAACCGCATGGATATAACTCACACCCAAACTGACCCCTACTGTCTCTACTTTCCTCTTTGCATGACTCTTCTCACCTCAACCCTTCTCCTGTGCTTCATCATTCACTTTCTCACACAGCTTCCTCCCCCTCTTGCTCTGTTTTTACATCCCTTTTCCTGCTCTCTGAGTCAGCACACACTACGGCCCCTGCCTGGCTCTTAACTGAATCAATCCTCTATGGGTGCAGCGCTCATTAAGATAAAAGCTCAGGCAGGCACACATGCACACTTAAGTACAAACCTAAAGAAAAAAAAAGATCTATGCACACACACCTTGACAAGCATGACCAGGGAGGACAGAAATGGATTGAGTCTGGACTGCAGCCACTGGGAGTACTCGTGTCCGCAAACATTCACAATTACGTCTTCTTGCGTGTTTTGATGAGCTGATAGATTAAGTGAAGTGCTGGTGAAGTGATGAAGCTAAAAGGAGGACAGCTGCTGAAAAATAGATGTAAAATGTTGCAGGGGATAAACACAAAGACGAGATTGTCTCGCAGCTACTTAGGTTTCTCTCTGGTCTGCTGACTGTCCGAGGAACGCAGTTGTAGGTGCAATGAGGACACAGGGGAGTAGCCAGGACACAGGGATGGACGCTGGCAGCGTTTTCTCTGGCTTCTCTCCAAAATGTAGACATTAATCTTTCATGACACAAACTGCCGTCTTCCTCAGCCTTTAGCCTGTAGTCTCACACAGTCAGCTGTGTCTCCACATTAGGTCAACAGGCAACTAATCAAAACATGGTAACCCAGTAGGGGAGTCTCTGGTTAGGAACAAATATGGAAGACTGAAGCTTATGGCTCATTCTAAGAAGCCAAACTAATATCTTGGTGTTGAACTGGTACAACTTGGAATTACTTTTGTTTGGTGACTTTCAAGCATATCTCCACCTTTTAAGCTGATATGTCAAATGTAAAACAGTTGTCTGTTTACACAATCTATAGACATGGAGCAACATTTTCATTCATTCGTTGTTGCATTTCTGGCACAGACTGTAAATAAAAGTCACTGTAATGTCAACCATAGGTCCGTGAGCTACCATTTTGAAGCTGAATTTGGTTGTGGCCATTTTGGTCTTTCAGCGCCCTAAACCCTTTTTTAATGTAAAAAAAAACGGGGGAAAAAAGTCTTGAGGAGTAAAAGAAAGTTCTTTCATGTCTCCTGGTTTTGACCAACAACGAAGCAGAAACAGTTGATCAGTTGAGCAAGTTAAATGTTGTCAGAGAAAAATGTGTTTCAATCTCCTGTGAACTCTTTTAAAAATGTCAAAAAAAAAGTCAAGCAAGTGTAAAAACTATTTTGTAAAATTGAGTAAATAGTTTTTTCAAATTGTGCCACTTAAATTAACTTTTTGTACAGAAATGCCTTAAAATTTGCATTTAAATGAATCAAAACGGTAAAGATTTGTGTCAATTAATTATAACGAACATAGTTTCATTAATGCCATATGTCTGCCGAACAGTTTTTATATGACCTATGACTGAATGATGGCAAGAATTAATGGGGAAAGTTGAAGTGAATGAAACAAACATTTACATGAGTTTTCCAGATCAATAGATCGCAGTTCTTAGACACAGAACATTAAAGAATCAATACCAAGGATGTGTGTTTTTAATAGAAAACATCCATTTTTACCCTAAAATGTTCTCATTATTATCAAATTAACATTTCACTACTGTTTTGAGTTTCTTTGAGTCACCTTTCCTAAACAGTAACTTTCCCACAGCAGTGTGTTCTTCTGTAACTGTGACTTTAGCAGAAATGACTTGCACCACTGAAGAAATGTCCACACCCTTCCTGTCACTGGAGAAATTAACAGTTGCACAAAATGGTTTCAAAATATGTTCTTTTAAGTAAAACAAACTACAACAGTTTGTCATTATATCAGTTAAGGCCCTCATCTCGTGTTGAAGTACCAAAAGACTGTAGAAGTTTCAATAAACCTATCTTAGACCACATAAATCAACTTTCTGTCATCCCTTCTCTATTTTCTCTCTTGCCACACATGCACAGACAGTTTGTGATGGATGAAAATTCCTCGCCCAGGAGGAAACCTAACAGCATGACCACCTGCCGGTCAGGGCAGAGCAGGGGGGCAAATCCCTGAGGGGACATCCAGTCAGACGCAGTGGAGTCACGGTTTGTTAGTGTGTACGCGCCTGTCAATGAATGACACAGGCTGCACACACTGGAGGGTAAAAATGGACTTCATTTCTAGCGTTCATAAAAGCTTCCCAGTCCACTTGTGCGCTGGCTCCACTCCAAAAGTGATAAACCACAGCTCTGTTGTCACCACCGATATCTCAGGGGCTGCAGCGCTCTCCCCTTGCTATCCTGCCACACTGTCCATTAAACGGATGAGATACTTCGCTCCGTTCCTATCACCATCCCATTGTTGCTGGACAGGAACCGCTCCATCAGATTACAGGATGTTAGGTGCAGAAGCACAATATCTCTTCCTGTTTGCCCAAGGCACACAGATCGGGTGTCAGCCCTGTGTTTGCCGAAACCATCGCCCTCTTTCCTCCCCTTCATCCCTCTCTCGGCACCCATGGGGGCACTGACCTTATAAATGCGTCTGTGACAGCTAACATCTGGTCAAATAAACAGGGCTGTAGCCGGGCCGTCTTGTGGAAGGGTGACCAGATTAATCAAAGCTAAGAAACGGGAGCACATCACTCCAGTTTTGCCTCTTGGTGCAGATTCCTATTATGTTTTTGGGATAGTTTTTACATTTTTGCCAATGAAGGCCCTTCATGGCTTCTCTCCTGGCTATATTTCTGGTCTTTTAGTTCTGTATGCACCACTTTAACATCTTCGAGGTCTTTTGTCTAAAGGGGATTGAGCGTTTGTTTTCGGGGCCCTGAGGCTCCAGAGCAATCTGCCCAAGGAAATCAGGTCGTCTGAGTCAGTGACCTCTTCTAAGTCGCTTCACCGGATCACCGATAAAACAAACTTTTATCTGCGAGCTTTTCCTGTTTTAGTTGAGTTTTAATGTTCTTTGGAGTCTCTTTTATTTCTTGCAACAATATTTTTTTTTGCTGTGTTAACACAGTGTTGCTTTTACTACACCAGGCTGAGTTTTACATGTTGATGATTTAAAGGCTTGTGGGTGTTATTTTTGTTGTCTTGTGAAGCAACTTGGATTTTACAAAGTGCTCTATAAGAAAAGATGATTCCTATTACTAATATAAGGACACACAGGACAGTGTTATTGTCCTGCGATTTAATCAGACGGGAATTTTGCATTTTCTTGATTTGCCTTATTTTGCTGTGGTTCCTATGAAGACACATCTCTCTGAAATGCAAAATCTGACACAAAGGTTGCTGCTTTATTCCTTTGCATGATAAATAAAGGAGATGTGGTGCACTTAAGTCACTCACTCATTTCTCTCCAGGTGTAGTCGGAGCTCCTGACCCTCAGCTGAGATCAGAACCTGTTCCTCTGCTGGGTGCTGGAAGAAAAACCCCAAAGAGAGATAATTCACTGATTGCATCACATTAAAAAAAAAGCTGATTCATGTTTTTTTTTTAAAAGTCTTTTTAACAAAATGATGACACAGACTTACCTCTTTGTTGGCAGACCGCTTGTGTCTGAGCGGATGCAGCCAAATGGGATAAGTAATCTCATAACTCTGTACGTGCTGGAGGATGCTCCTCGGTGAAGCCTGTGTCTTTTCTCCTAATGAAAAACAAAGGAAATGAAGGCAAAACGTGGGGGGAAAAAATACAACACAATGCACGATTGTGGGCTATTTTTGATTGCATCCGTTATGATGGATAAATACTGATGCATGCAAACACGTGGTGCAACATTGCATTTCAAACAAACAAATGCATCCAACGATCTGCTGCCACAAGAAAGCATCATTTTAATGATCGCTCCCAGAAAACAGCCCCACTCACCATTGTAAACACCGCCTTCAGATACAGCAGCAGCCTCGACACAGTGCAGGAAAACTATGAAACACAGAGAGGACCGCACAACACCGAGGAGGAGAAGAAGAGGCGCAGGAGGAGGAGGAGGAGGACGCGCTCCAGGACGCATTCTAAAAGCAAAAGGCTCCGATTGAAGTCGCCAAACTGAGACATAAATGTGCTAAAAAACGGAGCAGCCCGGGTCGGTTCACATCGCATGGATTTGCTGGTGTGACATCTCGATGATCCTCCGCCGCCGCCGCCGCCGTTAGACTGAATGAGATGCTGGCAGACCGCGGGGCGCACATCCCCGCGTCGTTATCAAGCCCTCCCCTCGCAGGGACACCGACGACGCAAGCCAGGATGTGATGAAAAGATGTACCAGCGAGCAACAAGACACCCAAGTCACGATTGCAGAAGCCTGATGTTGGAAATACAAGCTGCAGAGGGAACAGTGTGCAGATATGCGATCGATGTTTTTCAACCCTTTGCAGGAGCCTCATGATGATGATTATCCTGCGATGAGGCTGTTTCCATCCTGCAGGGATTATTTAAGGTTCACATGCATTCATTAGTGTTGTACTTTACTTACATAAAGTTGGAAACATGATAGAAAGAATGGCCACTTTTCATACAATAGATAGATATGCGTACTTTCACTGGGGGAAAAAAGCTAGATCCTGCATTTCTCATGTTACAATCAATATCATCTTTGTCTGGAAACAAGACACTCTTTACCTTAAATGACCACATCTTTCATGACCTGCTTGCAATAAAACCCAGCTTTAGATAATCCTGAGGGCATCACTACAACATAATCAGGGTTATATTTTCTCATTTAAAGCCCCCCTTCAGTTCAAATCGTTTTTTTTGTCACATTTCTATATGGTGTTTTATCTATTTATTTTTTATTCTAGTATACACATGTTGAGTAAAATAGTAATCAGTCGGCACCATGGCTGAGCATTTCCACCTGAAAACTGCACTGTACACATTAAAGTCTCAAAAACACAGATTCAGACTTTCAGGGTTTTATATGTCACAAACCTGAAGAACCAATCCTGTGCAGGGTGAGACTTTCTGTTTCATTATTCTTAGTCAGAATCAGTTTTTAGCCTGTCATTGCTTAGCTAATCGAAAAGATTTATGGCATCTGAGCTGGTGTACTTGTTGGAGTAGAGACTTTATAGATGTTCCCATTGTAAAGGAGGAAACAGACATCTAAAGCAACATTTTAGGGCATGAAGGGAGTATATTCATTAAAGTGTGTCAAACTAAATATGACACAGAGATGTGGTTTTAGGGGTTGAACCAATGACCACAGAGGAAGTTTATATGCAAAGCCACTGAAGATGTAATATAACAGATGCTCACAACTATTCCATATATTAAATACATCTACGGAGTTTAATGGATTTTTTCAAACTGCTAGCCTCACACCATTAAAACTGACTAAACTAGGGACTATTATATGTTAAGTATTTGTATTGTGAATAGTGAAAACATATCCTAATGGTCTACGTATCTTCTGTTAAATTAGTTCAAATCTATTAATGCACTGTGTCGGTTTTTCTAGCAGTAAATGCAAACAATGCAGTTCTGTTGGCAACACTTCAGTGGCTCTTTTCAACTTGTGGGAGATCTTGTTGCTGTTAAAATTTCACACTATGTTCAAGGTTGACACGAGTTAAAAGTTAACCGGCGGTCCGAATGACATGTGAACGCAGCTTATGTCTCGACAGCGATGTCGCCTCACCTGAACTGAGGAAAGGAAATAATTTCAAAGCCCTATTAAGGAAGTTTTTTTCAATTAGTGTGGAGTCTTTTGTACTTTCCCAACCAACCAGTGGGCATCTATATGAGCTCAGCGTGTAAATACATGCCGTCTTTAAATAACTGTAGCACTGGCCTCAACAGGTTGTGGTTTCTAGGATTTCCTCTCTTCTATGAAGCCATATGTCGTCAATGTATGTGTAGAGTTTGTCCGTGACTCAAGCAGGTGGATCGAAACACACAGCTTTTTTATGTTATCAAGAAAATGTGTCTGTGTTTAATTGTTCACTAAGTCGATATAGAGAATGAATAGAGTCTAATTAAAACAAACAGGCCACGATTAAATAATCTGAATCCATAGAGAGGGTAGAAAGTTCACTTCTGGTTACATAAAGTACAGTATAGTAGCTACATACTTTAAACAAGGTCACGGAACCAAAAATACAGCGGCAACACCCCACAGTAACTGAGCCGACTGAAGTAACGAAATACAGTGGGCTTGTGCCACTTCAAGCTTCCAGCAGCCATTCATACTGAGCCGGTCATTTATAAGTGCGATGATAAATATGCCACAGAGCACATGTCAGGAGGGTAGAGTGTATGCAGGGTGTGCGAGGTATTCTTAGCGCTGATGACAGTGCTGGCCGATGAATCCATTCACATCCCTAAATGCTGCCTTGGCTGCAAGACAAGGCCACTCACTCCAGTCAAGGTATTGGTTTCTGCTTTACTCTGCTTATTTCTACCTCAGATACACTTTTTTCCTACTACAGGCTGTAAGTGATATTGATCACTCTGCAGAAAGGCTTCCGGAAACATTAAAATTCAAACACTAGGAATTCTGAAAAAAGAAGATGAACAAAATGGGCGAACGCTGTCGAAAAACCTCTCAGCACCGAAAGCAGTGGGCCAAGAGGAAACATGTGAAACATGCTGAATGATCAAGTGTTGGTAGTATTCTGAATACCATTCTTGATATCAAATGGGGATATATTTTTGGAAAAGCAACCTTAGGAGAGCTAATTACACTGGACTAGACTAGAGAGGAGTGAGCAGATGCCTTGGTCAGACTATAAACTCGTCACACACGTCCTCCTTTCCCACTGCTACCAACGACTATGAAATGATCTGCTTCCCTTTGAAAACGACTGACATAATCACGCTTTTAAAGCAAAAAACATCCTCCTTAACATAACAGACGTTTAATGAATAAAGGTAAGAAAATGGTCCAACTGTAAGAGATTAACCGTACAAAGTCAGTCATGTAAGATATTTCAGAAGAATCTTCTTTGACGGATACTAAGCTTCATGGGTAACCTGGTGCTTGACACAAAGTCTACATCAAGTTGTTGCTGCTTAACTCTCTAGTCCAATGAGTTTAGAGTTGTTCTCCCAAAGCAGGAGAGAGGCAGCTATCAGTTGTCGTCCTCCAAGATGTCTGGATGATCCTCCCAGAACTGTTCTCCTATAATGTCACAGTGGTAGGCCTCCACCCGCTTCCTGCTACGAGTAACCGCCATGTCCTTCTCCTCTTGGTTTGGGACCTTCATGCGTTTAGTGACAGTCTCATCACGCTGGATAGAAGAAATTGGAAATATGATTCATATGATTAAAGGTAACTTAAAGGAACAGTACAACATTTTGGGAACTATTACATATATTTGTTTGACCTACAATTAATGGATACTGGGTTCCACAGGGTAAAGTCTTATATTAGTAAGTTTGGATATGTTGGTACAGAGCCAGGAAAACTGTTAAACTAACCATCTCCTTGTGAGAACTTCATCTTTGTTGTCTGGATATGAATAAATAAATAAACTGGTGTCTTGTGATGCCAAGAAAATGTCACAATCTTGTGAAAAAGCTACTGATTATAAGTAGAAAGTCTCCTTACAACGAGAAACTGCATTTTTGTTTTTGTGCTTTTGAGCAAAAGTGCTGCTGTGCATTTCTGATCTTGGCTTGTTGATGTATCTTTCTCATCTCCTTGCATAACTAATCCATGATGCCATGCCATGTCATGTGCAATCTCACTGTATACAGTTGAAACCAGAAGTTTACATACCCTGTATAAAAAGACATGAAACCTCTTTTTTTTCTCACTGTCTGATATTAAATCAGACAAACTTTTCCTGTTTTATGTGTATGTAAACTTCTGGTTTCAACTGTAAGTATCACTGTTGCAAAAGACTCTAAAACTTCTGCATATTTCACAATAATGCTCTTTTGTGAGAATGCCATCTTTTAGTAAACCAACCAGTCAGCTGTTATGTTCCTTTAATGTCAACATGGCATTAAGGTTTAGAATAGAATAGAACTTTATTGATCCCTTTGGTGGAGACCTCGGGGAAATTACTGAAATATATAAATAAAGACCTACAAATTGAGGGAAATATATATCCTTACAGTAATAGCATTTGGGAATACGGGAACATTTTAATACAAGGCTAAAGAAAATGTTGAATCGATAGAAGCTGACGACCAATTTTCTGAACTTAAAGTGTTTTTGTTTGCAGTGAGAGTTTCTAAATTGCTAATGATGTGACTTGGAGCAAAGAGAAAAACAGACAACAACATTCAATAATGCAACAGCTACTAGGCTCAAACATGCAAAAGCTTAGAAACTAATTTTTCTGTCAGCCAAAACTGCAAAGTAGTCACTGGTATCAACCGATAAAGGCGTCACAATGAAATAGTGACAGAAGTCCAAAATGTACATTGACAGATGACTTGCACTTGTCAGAATTAACGTTTATGGGTTTTGAAGGAGTTTTTGAACGTGCACATTTAAAGAGCACTGTATTTTATGTCAGCACCTACCAGTAAACCATCATGATTAGGGCAGACATAGTATCATGTTAATTCCACTACAGGAGAGACCTGATGCTGCCTGCAGTTTGGTGGAAAAAACATGTGCATATATCGGCAATCAGCCAAAATTAGTTATAAAATACAAGTAAATCAGACATCGGCAAGAATACTATTTTGATCCCATTTCCAAACCACACAGGTCAAAACTGACCAAGCAGAGAAAGAGACAGTTTCTCCACCAACAGCAGGTCCAGTTGAAACAGAATGTATCTCAGGCACTCTCCACACATACACAGGTATTATTTATAATTTTTTATTTAGTTTTTTTTACTTTTTGTCTTTCGTCCACACACAAATGCTGTTTTAAGGCACTGAGAACAGAGCTTCTGGAAAGCTCCCTCCAGGATGAAGATATTTAGAAACTCTGTTTGCAGTGTGGACATGTAGACAAGGGGAAACTGGGTTTCTGGCTTGTGATGTCAAAGTGTGCAACGTTATCTCCTTTGTTTACACGAGGTGATATTGTGAAATGGCGGATGTGGCCAAAATAATACCAGCGTTAACATTGCTTCTTATATGTTTACACATAAATGTACAGTTCTACCATATGGAGAAAGAGAGGCGTAAGAATCAGTCCACATATACGATGCCCTCTTCCTTAATGCGCCATTAGTTACACTTCACAGCTTTTTCAGGCTTCTAACTGGCCAACATGGCTTTAGGGTTGGTTTAGCACGCTCTCAGTTTAGGTTTTTGTGTCTTCAGGTGGATTTTTCTTTGTGTTTTGAGACCAAAGGAAAAAATATGCATGTACATGTGGAGTAGGGGGCTGCAAGGTAGCTCGGTGGTTAGCACCGTTGCCTCGCAGCAAGAAGGTCACAGGTTCGCGTCCCAGTGAGGACACCTGGGATCTTTCTGCGTGGAGTTTGCATGTGTGAATGTGAGTGTGCTTGGTTGTCTGTCTCTAAGTGTAGCCCTGTGATAGACTGACGACCTGTCCAGGATGTCTGCCTTGGCCCTAAGTCAGCTGGGATAGACTCCAGCCCCCCACGACCCCAGTGAGGATTAAGCAGTGTATAGATAATGGATGGATGGATGGATGGATGGATGTGGAGTAGGCCTAACTTTACTGGAAAACATTTGAAAGTCCTTTAAGTTTTGACGTTTGAAATAAAAATCAATCAAAATCACGGAGTGAAGTAGAAGTCAATGAGTTCCTCTGCAATAACTGTGCAGCCTTAATTCAATCTTTAACAACCTACCTTTTCCCAAATCAGGGTGGTGCCTTTCCTGTGGAGGGCTGATTCATTGTTGTAGTTGATGCCAAACTCTGAGAACAAGATCTCATTTTTATCTGCAGCTAGTGTTCCCTGAAAATGGAGAAATACAGTTGGATACATGCATGTAAATACTACCGAAATCAAGTGTGTACAAAACTCAGCTCATACTACACTCCGTGTACAACTTTAAAGCTTTCAGGTAATTTCTTTATCCATTCTGCCAACAAAACCAAATGACCATACAAAGACACCACCACCCACTGTTTTTACTACTGCCATGCTGGTTTTATTGTTCTCTTAAAATGTTTTTTAATGTGGCAAAGGAACTAGAAACCACAAGGGTCGAGCTGTGAATGACTCATGTTGCCCAAACATTGAGCCACAGCGAACACTTCCACCACTTGTCGGTTGTTTCCCTCACAGCCCACTGGAGGATGAAGGGACTTCAAGAGAGCAGCTGCGTCAGTCCGTGGTCGCTGCCACAAATAGCGACAGGCAGATGTTTTATAGAGTATTTTAATACGTAGCAATAAATAATTTATAAAGAGGCAGCTGAAATCTAACCTGTAGGTTTTGTTTCCATTACTTAACCCAATGTTTATTCTGACAAAATAATGATAAGGGAGGCGACCCGATAAGCCCTGTGTCTTCACAAAGTCTCTGAATAATGGGACAAAAATGCCCATAAACTACAAATTTTAAAAATAAACAAATAATAAGGGGAGTAATAAAAGAGTCTATCAAACTTTTTGAAAGCTGCAGTAGGCAGAAAGCTCTGTTTTAAGCTCCTCCCACCAGATTTACACCCAATTTAAATGTACAAATGTAGTCAGACTGAAAGTCAACATTAATTTGTGGCATCACGCAGAATTCAAACCTGACTCTCTTGAGCAAAAGCCCTTTAATATCTTACTCCTACTGTGGATTTTCTTTCTCTTTATACTCTCTTACCTGCTCTGAGTGAAAAGCCCTGTGTTTGGCTAAAACCTGTCACAAGCTAGATTCTCTAAAGCTTGAAAATGGAGCAGGAGGAGGTGCAGGAGTCTGGTTTCCCTCTTAGAACAATAAATTACAACATTCTGAAAGGTCGTTGAGGCCTGGATGAACCGTAATGAAAGCAATCAAAGTGCAATAGTATATGTCTTTTGGATCTAATAAAGAATCCTACAGGTTACAAATGCAGAGTGAGTACTTCAGCTGAAAGAAGAGCAGAGCTCATACACCAGGATCGGGGTCAGAGGTCTGACCAAGAATCAAACAAGACAATACCAGTTACTTTAGCATTTGTCTTTTAACATGACAGCCTCAGTCTTCTCATGAAGATAACAGGTACTCCTCAGCTGAGGGATGTAAATAACACAGTGCAGTCGAAGCCAGACTATGATAAGGTCATGGTATTTATATGATAAAGAATAAAGCAACAGTGAATCGCTTGTAAATATCTTTAAAGCTCAAACACAGATGCTTAGTCTATTTCACAAACGGCTTGAACATTTAATTGCCTATTAACATTACCTATGATTCATTTCCTGGAAATGAGAGAAACTGGATTAATAATGACAAACTGATTTGCTTAAAAGTAATTGATACAAAAATCTAATTGACAGGCATCGGTTTGCCCCCGAACGTTGCTTGCAAGTAAAAGCTTTACTGTGCACAGAGAAATGGCTGTGTGACTTTAAAAATCATATCTGTGGCAACACTGAAACATCCAATAAGATATTATTATATCCTTTATGTGGACATTTGCTCCAAAGATCAGAACAAATGCACAAATCTGTTGTGCTTTATTTCAACAGCTAATTAGAGATAGATGGTGTTATAAATATTATGGGAACTAGAAGAGGTGAAAACTTTTATTATTGTGCTTTTGCTGCGGCCACACCTCTACATATGAATCTACAGAACGTGTTTTTGGGATGGATGTCTTACTTAGTAAATGTAAGCAAACGTGCCTTAGTTTTGGAAATGTAGGGCGATCATGACCCATTGTACACATTAAATCCTGTGTAGCTGACCTCTTGTGTATCCATTGCTAATTGACAGTGTTATGTCTTTCATCTATTTTATGCTTTATACGCTCCAAATATGCAGGTTTTCCTTTTTATGAGTTGTTCTAGTCCATTAACAATTTATTAGCTTTCTTATAAATTTTAAAATACATAACAGTCAAAGAAGTAGTGGTTCTACTTGTAATGAGTATAATGTTCAGTGTATTCGTGTATACGCATGTATCTACCAATGGACACACAAACAAACTGATCTAGATTGTGTTTCACTCTCACCTTTAAGCGTTCGTCTGCCTGTGCTGTGGTAAGTCCTCCTTTTTGCACTAATGTCCAAAACACTGTGTTGTACAAATTATTTATGTGACCTGAAAGAAACAAAACAAAACAAAAGAAACACATAAAGTCTGACATCTTTCACTACAGGACAAATATCCATCCATCCATCCATTATCTATACACCGCTTAATCCTCACTAGGGTCACGGGGGGCTGAAGCCTATCTCAGCTCAGGTAGGGTGAAGGACACCCTGGACAGGTTGTCAACCTATCACAGGGCTACACTTAGAGACAGACAACCAAGCACACTCACATTCACACCTACGGACAATTTAGAACCACCAATTAACCTTAACATGTTTTTGGACTGTGTGGGAGGAAGCCGGAGAACCGGAGAGAACCCACGCTGCACGGGGAGAACATGCAAACTCCACGCAGAAAGATCCTGGGTGTCCTCACCATTCGAACTGGAAACCTTCTTGCTGTGAGGTGACGGTGCTAACCACCGAGCCACCTTGCAGCCCTACAGGACAAATATGTGATTTTCAAATCAGATCGAGCAAAGTATGTACTTACAGTCTGCTTGCCTCCAACTGAGGTAGTCTCTGAGGTTACGGTTGCTAGGATACAGGACCACACGCCCATCAAAGCCTGGGGGGTACAGGAGGGGCTGCTCTCCGAAAAACTCCTTCCAGTAAAACACATATGAGGAGGAGAACTGGGAGGCTACATGGGTCATGAATTTACTGCCAGGAAAGCAGAAGAAGTAATGAGGTTAGACAATCATATAAAATGATAGATGAATGAAATTGTTCTACAGTAGGATAACACCTCAGTACCTGGCTCTTCTTTTGAACCAGTTGGAAGTCCTCTTAAAAACAAAGCTGAACTCATCGCTTTGGCCATAGGCGATGACTACATCCTCAAGCTCTTCAATGACAGAGCGTGCACTCCTGGTCATCAGTCCCAATGCCCTGTTATCATTGGGTTTCGTGAACTTGTGCTGCTCTGCAAATCTGAAACAAAATGAAAGGAAAGAAAAAACTCAAAACAGCATCACAATTTCAAATACTGTATTAACACAACCGATCAGCAAAATCACTCATGTCTTTATAAAAATGCAGAAAAAACAGAAAGCTCACTTGTGAAAGTTGCGCCCATCCAGCCTCACAACAATATAGCAGTTCCGTAGACAAGTGTCATCTGTTTCAAAGTTGCGAACATACTCAAACTTGCTCTTGGCCATGTTGCTGGAACTGAAAGAGAGATGGGCCGGGCGTGTCAAAACAAAAGACCTAACACATCCACCAAGTCTGCAGGCCTTTTTAATCAGCATTAAGATGCTCCTGAAAAGAAAGAGCAAGAAGCACAAACATGACATGTAAACAAACAGCCAAACAGGACCAAAAGGACCTTATACTGACATCAAAGCAGAACAAAAAATTAATTAAAATCATGACTGGAGTTATTACGGAATGAATAGTGTTTACACGCCCATTAGCCACTGATAATATCAGTTACTTACACATTGATGTCATGTGTGGTGTTAGTACTCAACTATAACCAGTTAGCTAGCTTTATGTTTACTCCCGCGCGAGTGTCAAACGTTTAATAGTTACACAAACAAAGATTATTAATTTAGTATGACATTAAGTCTATATTGTTGATTGACATTTACATTTTTCCAAAAACTGTTCTTTCACTCACGTTGGTTTGTGTACGGTCCGTCAATGAATCCGTCCGTAGTGGCACTTCACCCTGCTACACAAACGTTCCGGGGGCAGAAGCGACAAACATTTCATTTAAAACAACTACCTTATTGTTCTTTTTTGCCTCTCAGTCCTCGCCAACGATACCTTAACGCGTACTAAAATATCGTTGTGCTGCTTCGCGGGATATTCTGTGAAGACAAGCAGATTTTCACAGAAGCTAATAAACACCGTTTGTGTTTAGGCGCCATCTTGCGGTACAAAGATAGAACTGCAATCAAAGAGCGCTTGTTACAGAGCGGTTATGGGACTTGTAGTCCAATTAAAAGTTTTTTTCTTTTTGTAGCGTTTGTCATAAATACGTGGACCATTATTATAGTATTATTATAGGGAAAACTACTGACCAGATAGAAATTATACACTTAAGATCGAAATACCAAAGTTTAATGACATATTATAGTCATGGGTGTTTAATATCCACCTGTTTGGTGCGGGATAAAAACTCAGCCCCAACTGACGACAACATTTCCCATGATTCCTCGCTTCACTGTTGGCTCTTCTGCGGCTGTTTCAAACATGGAGGAGTGGGTTTCAACTAAACTCAGGGCATGTGGTGTATAGAGCTATTTTGATATTTTTTATGTAAAAGCGTTGATTAAAAAGCAGAATTTAAGTTTTGGTGTGAGCCGTTCTCTTTTTACACTCGGTGGTTGGTGGTAATGTAGCACAAAGCTGCTTGCTAACTGCTACAAAACACCAGAAGAGGAAGAAACATGGAGGAGAGGGAAAGAAAAAGTATGAAATCTGACAGTAAGGAGACAGCAGCAGCAGCATCATGTTCGAGCACCACATCGGTACCGGAGCAGCCGAAGACAGACAGCGAAACCGGGGACGACGACGCACTGAAAACAGACGTGTGCTCCGATAAGTTTGACCCTCTCTTGGCCTTGTATTCTCCCTCCGCGCCCCCTCTCCCCTTTCCAAACATCAAGTGCTTCAACAATGTGGCGGAGTACGAGAGCTTTCTCAAAGGCGGTCGAGGCAGAGCCAAGCCGGAGAACGTGGAGAAAAAGCGGCGGAAGGCGATGAAAGGGGTGGCGGACCCGGAGCGCATCGAGAGGCTGAAGAATCTCATGGTGAAGAAACCGGAGTCAGAGGAGGGGGAGAGCAGCAGCCGCGCGACGCCGAGGAGGAAGAGGCAGAAGCCCCAGAAGAATGTCCTGACGAGGATGCCCCGTAGGTTCAACACCCACCTCTACTGCAACACTAGTCGGCTACATGATCGTACTTCAGAGGGATCATTAACTTATTGACACATAGAAACTTGAACTGCTGCATAGAAGTTGCACCATGTCACTGTTAACAATATTTGAACAACTGTAACCAGATGTTTGTCACCTTTCCTTGATGACCAGAAACTAATTCTTTTCAGAAGTTTTCTACCAAGTTAAGGTACCACCAACCTCCAGAAATCCTTCAGTACAAATCTTATAGAAGTCTCTGGAGCTCTGGTGGTGGTCCCAGATCGGTCTCAGGTATTCAGGTGGTTTGAGATCTGGTTATTCTAAAGGCCATAGCATTATGATAGTCTTTGTAGTGAGCTAAACAATGAGCCCTTTTGCCTCAGATAGAAGCATCTGTGTAGATTCTCAGTCAACCAGGTCATGATAATCCTAAATTGTCTTGAGTCATCTTAATGTCTCGAAGACGTTTCACCTCTTATTCGAAAGCCTTCCCGAGTTCAAACTGATTGGTGGGAAGTTCCAGGTTGGGAATAAATCCCAGGGACTCCCTTGCAGTCAGAACTTTTGAAACCTTGTAAATGAAACAACTGGAAGAAACAAACAAATAATTACTTGGGGTTTTCTTGTTTCCACACATGCTCAGCTTTCTTTCTAAAGAGCTATATTTAAAATCTAGCAGTTACTTCTGCTACTTCATCTTTTTTATTATTATTTAAGGAAATACCTTTGTGTTGCAGGTGATTTATTTTATCTTTTTGTATGATCTGTTGCATAACCTGCTTATTACGTGTCTTCAGTATGTAAAGGCAGTCCTCTGGGAGAGCTGTACCGATGCGTTGAGGAGAGGATACGAGTCAAAGTTCACATCCGGACCTTTAAAGGCCTGAGGGGAGTGTGCTCTGGCTTTGTTGTGGCCTTTGACAAGTTCTGGAATATGGTGAGCGAGCCAACTGTAGTTTTTCATCTTACTTTTATTTGACAGTTGCCATGTGCCGAATCTGAAATATCCAAATAATGTCTTTGGCAGGCGATGGTGGATGTAGATGAGACTTACAGAGAGCCTCTACTTGGAGAGGCATTGTATCATGAGAAAGCCCTCACCATTTCACGGGTATGTACCAGTTTTTTTGTTTTGTTTATTTGTATACCTGATCAAAAAATAGTTCCTACTAATTCATAGTTAAAGCATCCTTAAGATTTCAAACTTGACACTACCAAAGAAATCCACAGTTTGTTCAAGAAGACTGTCCAAGATAATTGCAGCCTGGATTGTTTTGAACCCTGCACACATCACAGCTAGTTTTCCACACAACAGCAGGTCATAGTAAAAGCAGTTGGTTCCTTTGCTGAGGGTTGTGCAGCCTTTCTCTTGTGCCCCTTCATCAGCTCACAATGGCTGCTCCTTCTATTACTCACTGCAATTTTAAAATCTGATCTTGCTTTGTCGATGCATGGTATCTTTCAGAATCTCAGCCAGTACTCTGCAGTCCCCTTTTCTGCCTCACAATAAAAATTACCCTCTGTTTTGCAGATTAAATGCTTTTAATGCAAGCGAGCAGCAGTTAGAAATGTTGTTTGCATTAGCAGTAACCTAATACAGCTCTGATAAGGCATCAGAAGAGGCAGAATTGTTGGATTACATTCATGGCCTTTGTGAATCCTTTTTGCAAAGGGAGGTAATTCGATCCTACAGGGGGATGGCAGACCCCAATGGTAAAGTGACTACCGTGAAGAGAGATAATTACGGAATGTACGTTTGTTAAATGACAATTGATGAAAAAAGGTGACCGTAAATTCTATCAAAATAGGGTTGGATTTCATGAAAGTCTTATGCCACAGACTTGGCAAAGATGGATAAAATCACCCATTGGTTTGTTGTTTTTGAAGCATTGAATTTAGAAATTGGCTGCTGCCATCTTGGTTTTCTGAAACCAGACAGAATAAGCCACCGCAGAAAATCCAACACACACCCCTATGGTAGCAACTGTCAGTGACAAGGCAGCCACACTGTGAAACATATCCTGCTTTATCGGCTGTTTTGCTCTAAATGGGACCACAATGTACAAAATGAGCTTCATACTGTATTCGGTATGACTTGAAACTAGCAATTGAGATGATAAATTCTTCAAGAAATATTTACTGAGGTAACCAACCAAGTGAGAAACAGGGTTGTTTACTCATGAACGTCTATACAATTGGATATCTTTCAGCAACCAGAGGTGTCGCCCCCTGCTGGATGTTACACATATTTAGAAAGGCTTAAAGAGCTTCTGCACTGGCTTCATTTTCAGACCTAGAGGCTACGTCCATCATTTATATACAATCTATGCTTTATGCTCTCAAGTTGTACCCACAAATAATAACGTCACTGAAATCTTTGTACAGTTGATTGAGAAGCTAAACCTCCAGGAGAGCTCAGGAGACAATGAGCCAGTAAAGAAGCACGAAGCCCAGAAAAAATCCAACGAGCGTCAACCAGCAGATCCCAAAACTACTCCGAAAAGCAGCTCGGCTCAGCCCACCAAAGGGGATGGCAGGACAGCGGAGACGGAGCTGTCACAGGCTGTTAAAACCACACAGGGTAAACACAACGTCTCAATGAAGGCCCAGGGTCCTGAGAAGAAAGGTCCCCAGACATATGGCAAGGTCCACACACGCCACATCAACCAGCTCTTCATCCGGGGTGAGAACGTTGTCCTGGTTAACCCACAGCCACTCTGATTTATCTTCCTGTTTGATTATTTACCCTGGAGAAAAAAAAAAAGTTTCCTACAACATGTGCTCATTGGTGTGAAATGCTGCTGTGATTTAATTAGATTCAGATGAATTAAACACAGACAACTGTTATATCATATTGATATGGATATTCTCTGTCCACCAGAGAAATTACTTTGCTGTTGAGAAATAAAAGCTTCTCGTTGCTAATTATACTAATATGTCGTTTTGTTTTCTCTCTTCTGTCACCCAGTAAAGTGTGTGTTCTGGTTATCACCCAGCAGGTGGCAGCATAAACACATTAGAGCCATCTGTGAGGCTATTGTCATCTCAAAGAGCTTGTCCCTTTATGTTGCATTTCCCCGTTAGTTTGAACAGGAATGACAGCGCAGTCTCAGCGGACTTCATAAATGCATTATGAATAATTGAGTTTGTGAAGCTAGAGATTGCAGATGGCACTCAAAAGCTGTCATTTGTCTTGACGTCTCAGATTGCTTTTACTCTTTAATGGGCACATTACCCATAAAAGCACAATTTACTGCATCTTGTGGAAGTTGTAAAGATGTTGTTTTTTTTTTTTTCTTTTTAAATGACAGAGGTTAGTTTTGGATGATGAGCGCCACAGAATGATTGTCGCTACATCGTCTCCAGGTCTGCGTCAGAGTTTATTTTTTGCTTATTTTAGTTTCTCTTAATTTGACTGCAGAGAGATTTAATTGACCCTCTTTCCATAGATTTTGTGTCGTAAGTGGGGCATATTCTATCAGTAGCCGAGCGTGTGTTCGTCTACTGTATATACTGTTGCTTTTCATACATCAGAATATTATTAGTATAGCCCATTTAACAGTCCTCTCCAGAGAGGAAAAATGGGGTCAATTGTTTAATGTAAGCTGTGTTTTAGTTGTGTTTGCCATACAAGTGTGTTCCAACAAACCTTAATAACATAAGAGAAGGGCAGAGCGCTGATTGTGAAGAGATTAGATTATACAATTTGTCTCCTGTGTGCATTACACCAGAGTAATCAGGCCATCTCTCTCACGATGAGAAACCGTAAAATTCAACAGTTTAAGAATTACCATGGCATTAAGGACACAAACTATCAAGAGATTTAACCGTACAACCGAAAAGCTGTATAAGCATGTATAGAATGTGAAAGTTAAACATTTCGAAGCATCTGTTGCGTTGAGCCGCTGCAGCTGTCTCAACATTGATCAGATATTTCCGTGTTGAAGTAATCTCAGTTTTCTGTTCTCGTCTGATGTAGTGTCTGGCTTGTATGTCACCTGCACTGTGATGCGACTTGGCAGGGACAACCTATGTATTTGGTGTTGATTTACTGAAGGCCTTTCTTTATTACCGCTAACAACGATGTTAAACTCACATCAAGTAAATGTAATTTCAAAGCCAAGCGCAGCGACTTCACTTTTGCTGCTTGAAGCACTTTTGAATGAGGCTAATGACACAGCACACCAAATAACACACACCATTAGCAAATTTCAATCAACTGTTTAATGTTGTAGATAAAGAATCTTGACGTGTAAATCAAATCAAAATGGGAATAATGCAAAATTAAATTTTTCTTAAAGGATTTTTTAAAAACATTTGCATACACTAGTGTTTCAGTAACAATCCCATTTTAGAGAGGACCAAAATGATTCAAAGTAGAAAACAAAAAATGCATAAACAATCTCTACTGATAATAGAAAAACAGCAAACAGATTTTGGTCATTTTTATGCTTCAGACACCGATGCAGGGCTACTCTGTGTTAGTGTGCTCAGCCTCTCGAGCCCTTGGGAGAGTAGGAAAGCACAACTTCATTCCTCCCGGGGCTGCAGAATCCACTGCCTTCTCCTCTGGTCAGTGAATTATTTATCTCATTGTTGACATACCAAAAATGTCAGGCACCCAAGGTCCAATTTTGATTATCAATCACTCGTACAAGGGTCAGGAGGCAACCATCGGCAGGCACTTGGACCACTGAAGAGAAATGTTGTGTACATCTAACAGGCAACGTGGGACTGTTGATGCTGTGATGCCCCCACAACACGTCTTCTTCATCTAACCAACAGAACAGACTGGGTTTGTACAAACTGCATCCCAGCTGGTAAAAGTGCTTCTTCTCTCACACAATGTTTTGTACCTGATAAGTTTCAAAACACGCAGACCTGGACTCATGACGGTCATGACAGTGACAATGTTTTCAAGATTTGCTGTTTTAATGTGCAATGTTAATGAAGATGAAAGGTGAAAAATGAAAAGGCAGCGTTTACCAAGAGGCACGTTTAACAGACAGACGCAATGTACAATCTTAACAGTCTCAATCAACACTTGAGGTGCTGAATTAACAGTAATAGGTCTTTCATCAGGGTGTTTTTGTAGCTCTGACGCTATCGCTGGCCTGAATACGCTGGAAACAGTAAAAATGGCGCATTGGACAAACAATAGAATGACTGAAATCTGTAAAGACAGGTTTGAGGTACAAACACACTTTATGTTTGCACAAAGTACAGAAGCTCCATCCTGGCAGCTATCTTCAACACTGCACAGTCGTATTGTCTCTTTCAAAGAGGTTAACTGAAGAGAAAAGGCAAAAGGTCTTTCAGGCACTGTAACGAAGAACCCACAACCCCTGAATGAGGCTTTTTCTACCTACTGATTATCTCATTTGGATGCGAACTGATTACAATATTCTTCATAAGTAAAATATGTCGATATATATCAATAGGAAAGGCCACAAATGATGGTCTGCTGAAGGAAAAAATTCCTCAGATTAATCAATATCTTTCACTGCAAACAATTATTAATTACTCCAACTGTACAACTCTAGTTACACTTGGAGTGTGGACACTTATGTACAAAGAGAAGGTGTTAATGTGCTTTGTTATAGGTCTCAATTCATATCAGATTTGGTCTGTATGATACAACTCTTCACATTGTCACAGCCTCTCATATATGAACTTCATAACTTATTGTAGGAGCTCCAGATTTCTATTTACAGGTCAAAGGAAGAACGAGGACAGAAAAGAGGTAACTTGACATTCTTCAATGTATGTTAGAAAGATAAAAAGCCTGATCATGTTATCCAAACTCATCATTCAGTACGGTTATTGAGAATGCGTCTCAAAAAAGAAAAACAAAATTATGCAGCTACTGATACATGTTTTTTTTTTTTTTTCCTGCTATTCTGGTGATTTCACTTGATTGAGGTTATAAAGCAAATCCCCCTGACATTCTCTCAGTGGCTCTCTCTTCCTTTTTCTCACTGACTCATAACCAACCAACATGACACACTTATCATCAGTGTGTCTGTCTGACCACTATCCCAGACCAGACGGATCATTGGTTTGAACAACACAGACACATTCATTTAGATCCATATTGTTACATTACTTTAAAAAAAAAAAAAAACACGATAGGGAGATTGCATGGTGTTGGTATTATGATAGTTGATATTATTCAAGTACTCTTTGTTTGCAGCTCATAACACAATCCTTCGCCAATGGACGGACAGAGAGACTGCCACCGCTCCTGATAATCTTTGCTCTCCAGTTCCATCACTTTCCAAAGTTGCCAAAGTCAGCAAAGGCATCGTGTTTGGGCTGTTGGACCATGGCAGGGTTCATCCCCATCCCCATTCCCATTCCCATCCCCATCCCCATCCCCATGGCACCGGGCATCCCCATCGTCATACCTGACTGTTGCATCCCCATGTTCATGCCCATCCCCATCATGCCCTGGTTGGGCGCCATGCCCATTCCCATTCCCATGCCAGCACCAGGGTGCATCATAGGATTAACAGGTGGTCTGACAGTTGTAGTTCCAAGACTCATACTGGAAAATCCCTGGGAGAGCATGTTGGCAGGTGCCTGGTTGCCTGGAAATAACAGAACACACTTTGTGAATAGAAGTGCCAATTTTTTAAGTCCAATTTGATTGACAGGATGCTTTGACAGAAACCCTGCCATTCATGTCAGATCTACTGATCTCCTCACCTTGTTGGAGGGTGTTGAGACTGGGCTGGCTAGGCTTGGGGGGCTGCATGCCAGGGCCCAGGAAGTCCAGGCTGATGTTAACTGAAGGATCTGACCAGGTGGATGGGAGGGGTACTTTGGCTCCTACACCTTGCATAGCTCCTCCCTGCTGCGTAGGCTGAAGGGGCTGCACAGACTGCGGTTGTAAAGGACCACCCATGTTCTGGAGGGGCTGGTAAAGACAGAGGGTGTATAAAAGCACAAACACTTTGTCAGAGAAAAAGCCAATTCATGCCAAAATCACAGACATATACCGTCACAATTCACCTAAAAGCTCCAACACTGGTAAACATGATGAAAAGCTGCAGTTTTTTTCCCCCCCCATAATTCAAGGCCCTAACTCTTTAACCTGACCCAGTAAATTCTCATACTGTCAGAGCAATCTGCTCGTGTCTCCTTCACAACTCATTAAAACCATACCATCTAATGTAACTAGAGTAAAAGGGGAAGTGGGTGCCTTCTCAGCGAAACAAAGAATGAGCTTCTTTTTTTTTTTTTTTTTAAGTAGGTCAACAACCTTTTAACATAGAAATACAGTCGACATATGCAGGCTTTTGTTGGGTTTTAATGTTTTTGTAACTCAAATCTCATTCTTCTCATTTTGTGTCAGTAACAGGAGGAGTGGGTGGTTAGTGGGCGGTCTCTGGGGGAGATGAGCATCTGGTGGGGCTGAGTGTTAACTCTCAACCATCAGGCTTGTGCTCAGTCTTTCAATCACACAAGGTATGTCTCTATCAAACAAGCTTGCTGACTGATGTGGTCAACGAGAAACATAATCCATGTGCAAGTGGATGAATGTGCAAAAAACGTCTGTGCTAGAGTGTTGTTAGTTCTATACTTCGTCACACCTGTTAGCTATTCTACACTATACATTCTAGAGTATTTTACACAAGACAAGCCTGTGGTTAGAAAAATGAAAACAAATTGCACAATGTGTCGCCAGAACAGCTTCAACCACAACTTGACATTGATTCTCAGTCACTGGAATTCTACCGCAGGGGTGAAACAATTCTTCTAAAAGATATTCCCTCATTTTGTGCTATGATGGCAGTGGTGGAGATGCAGAGTGTTGTATAAGACCAGTAATACACTTTGCAAGTCCACGAGGGTCCTCATGACATATATATCATCATCTCCCAAAGAGGCCCACTGGCAGCTCAAGATCTGTGCCCATACAGACAGTTCACATAGCAGCTTTGCTACAAATGACGGTAGTGCACATAAGCAGAGTACACAGATGCCGACCTATTGCACACGTACAGATTTGAGTTCTCCCTGTGGACTCCAAGTGGACTAGAAAGCAGTACAATAACAACAACTAAGCCTTCGTGGTTTCTGCAGCTGTCCACGTGCAAGTCCACAACGTAGTATGATAAAGACCTAACCTGCTGGCCCAGAATCTCCCATGGATCTTCACCTGCATTGAGATTTGGTGACTGTGAAAATCCTAACATATGATTCAAATAATTTTCACACTTAAACTATTGGATGTCTACTCGTGCCCTATCGATGGGGGCATTGCCATCCTGGAAAAGACCACTCCCATCAGGAATTACAGAATAAAGATGATAAAATACAACTGGACCCAAACCATGCCAGCAAAATGCCCCCCACAGCATAATAAAGCCACCCCTCACAGTAGAAGTCTAGGATTTTTCCTTTAATTTGTCCCCTGTCTGTATATTGAAACTAATTAATTTTATGAGTCAGTACTAGTATTTTGGTATAGAAATGTTTAGGTTACAAGTAAGACAATATGAATATATAAAGCCTTTAACGATCATTTTTTAAAATAACCATCTGGTCCACAAATGTATATTTTTCTACTGTTTGAGATTGCATTCCTATCTGCAACAAGGTAATATTGTTTGGCTTGTTGTGGCTTTTTGCGCTCCTGTAATTCTTATTGACAGTATCATTTAAGCTAATTCTGAACCAAGTTTGTGCAGGAGAATAAACACTTTTCAAACCATATTTATATTTTCACAAAGTAAAATAAGCACATGCCTTGGTACACAATTTACCGAGTTATACGGCTGATTCAAATTAATCTTTAAGTTCTATTTTATCAGAATCTCTAAATTATAGCAAAACCACTTTGTAAACTATGACGATAAGTCCCTTTAAATTACTTCAACTATATGTTGTATTTTTATACACTAACATTTACCCCAACTCATTTATCTGTGGCTAAAGAAAACATACTCAAAGCATGACCCTCAACTTATCAGTCAAACGCTGTATGCATGACCGCTGACAGTGCACAGCTATTAACTGCGGATATTTTGCTTCCACCTGTATTCCATTTATGCCCAATACAAGGGTCTTGTAATGATATGTATATCAATGAATTATTAACAAGGGATGCGTGTGTGCATGAGTGCAATCATGCATACCTGTGACCTAGACTGAGGCAGGACTGTGCTGCTCATGCTCTGTGTCATGCTAAAGTTGAGGCTCTGAGAGGAGGTGAGGGACTGAGAGGGCCCCATCAAGTCAAACAGGTCAGCTGAGGCAGGACCAGAGGCTGGTGCTGAGACCGGGGCTGGGGTGGGGGTAGCAGCAGCGGCAGCAGCAGCAGCAGCAGGACCTGCTGTCATGGCTGCAAAAAGGTCATTTCCACTGATGTCGACGGTCTGAGCAGATGCTGGCATCTGACCTCCAGGAAAGGCGTTCCATTCTCCAAAGTCTCCGTTGGTGTTAGAGGCTGGTGCTGCTGCTGCAAGGAAGGGGGAGAAAAACATGCATCAATGTCTATACAAATCATTCAATCAGTAATATTTGTACTGTGAGCTGTATAAATGTTCATTTCTTCAGCCAACAGAAGTCACACAAGCAACTTTCAACCTGCTATAGCGACAAAGAATGAAAAGCTTAATCTTCAGTGAAGGCGGTTTAGCTTTATCCAAGACATTCTCAGTGACCACTGATGCCACGTTTTAAATTTTCATTGAACTGGCCTGGCTTGTTGTCTCTCTCCCTCTCTCCGTCTCTCAGAGCTTCCTCCACCCCCACCAACTTCTTCCTCTGTCCCTGTCTCCTTGTCATCCATAACAGGAGTTGATGTGTGTCTGTTCTTATTATGCAGAGCAGGTAGCAGGCTCCATATGGCCAGGGCTCCCTCCCAGCATCCCTCTGAATATTCTAGCAGTACGGCTGCAACAGGACAGCATAAACATGCACACACTAACAAAAAAGAAAACTCTTAAAACCAACCGGATCCAGAGGACATCCCAGCAAAGGCAGCAGTTGAGGAGAAGTCAGCAAATCCACCGATCAGGTCTGCATTGAGAAACGGAAATAAACATGCCAATTTTAAACAAGTGAGCTCCAGGTGTCATTCTACCATAGTTAGCATTCCTTCAGTGTCAGGAGTGTAGGAGGGAGGGGAGGGGAGGGAGCAGTGGATAGGTGGAGGAGACCAAACATCTGTTCAGCTCTCCCGCCCTCACCATTCACTAGGGACTCCTCCAAAAACATCTGGTGCACTTAGTTCCTATACATCAACTCCCTCCCCCTGCTGTCCCCAAAATCTGAAGCTAGTATCAGCAGCTGGGCACCGTCACTTCCAACAGAATCTAGTGTGTGCCTGTAGCCACTGTGGAGTTTCTTGTTTGTCATGTTGTAAAGCTGAACTAAAAAAAGGGTTATTCCTGGATTTACTGGTGTCTGGCGAATATGCGGCTACTGAAAGGCATATTTATTCTTTTGGACAGAGACTAGTGGTTTCTCTAAGTTTCTAGTCTTTGACCAATTTATCTACTGAAACCAAAGAAATGCAACTGTGGTATACCTGTGGCAGCAGGCTGACTGGGTGTCGTGTCCACCATTAGCAGGTCAGCTAGGGCAGTAGTGGGGGGCTGAGAGGCTGCTGCTTGCTGGGGCTGGAATTTAAAACATTGATATAAGGAAAAAAAAAATCACAGTGCAAACACAAACTAATAGAAATAAAGTCTAATCTCAGTTTACATGTTCCTGTGAGCTTGTTCTACCTGTTTGGTGGTGGTATCTGGGCTCTGGTCTCCTGTGTAGTGGGCTGCGGCCCCAAGGTCTACTTTCTTTGACGGTACTCCTTTCTTCGATCGTTTTGCTGTTGTCTCTGTTGCTTGGACAATCTGTACACTCTTGGTGGTAACAGTCTCTTCTTCGTCTTTGAACTCTTTTCTCGGCTGGCCGTTGTGAGACGATCGACTTCTGTCCTCCTCGTTGTCACTGCACAAAAAAAAAAAAAAAGACATCAGGTAAGACAACCAGCTGTGTGAAGATCCAGATCAGTACGTATTACATCTGTCAAAGATTACAAAGCACTGAACTCTGTTCTTTACAAGCTTGTGTTTTTCCAGTAATGATGCAAAACCTTTTACAAATTCAGTAACATTTTTGCTCATGTTTGAAACATAGTTTGCACTTTTAACTATAACATGGTGCCAATATGCTAATACTATCCGTCTCCTACCTGAATCGATCTGGCGAGTCGTCTCTGTCCTTCTTCCTAAATATATTTATGGTATCATCAATGGTGCTGCCGATTTTGTCGGTGATCTCCCCCAACTTTTCACTGAAGGGGAACGGCCCTTTATTCTTGTCCCAGTCGTCGTCCCACTTTCCCCGGCTGTCACTGGAGTCGTACCTGTCTCCCGCTAGACAGGAGGAATTAAAGTAGGTGGAAAAGGAGATAAAAGCATAGGGCGTAAATTTCTCCCCCCCATCTGTTTATTGCTTTTAGGGAATATAATACACAGTCACAACACAAAGCGAGTACATCAGTTACAGTTAACACCACTACATTCACAACTCATGGACAAACAGGGGAGTAAGGATTGTAGTGATATGAACTGAACCGGAAGTTTTTTTGTTTAGTTAATTCTAACTGTGTTTATATTACTTGCTCAACTGAGGACTTACAGTAACCGCGGTATCCCATGCTGTCAGAGGACACTCCAATGTATTTGTCCTTGTTTTTCTTTGCCTTTTTCCGTTCTTCCCTGAGCCTCTCATCGTCCTGAACAAACTCCACCAGCTCCTTCACCTTTTGACGCACATTCACACCTTGGTCCTTCCCATTCTCATCTAGGGATGGAGATTTGATGACAAGAAAATAATAAAATAAATAAATAAAAATCACAAGTAATTAATTAGGAACTTCAATATATTGACGACACAAGGGCAATAAATATGAACATCTGGGTGCAGACAACACCGAGTGTCCTTGCTTGAAAACAGAACCTTAAACACAAACGTGGTTGGAAGAGTGAAAGCAGATTTAGGGCAGTGCGTGTGTGTGGTTTAAAGGTTTGTGGACTAAGCAGTGCTTAGGGCCTCCGTCCATTCATTACAGCTCACACTGAAGCTATTGTTAATAAACAACAAAACACTGAAATCCTGATGTGCGGAGAACCCCCCTCACCTGATCGAAGCAAAATATAAAAAGCAAATGTTTTTGTTTAGCAAGTATGTTAAAACAGAAAAAAAAAAAGATGCAGATGAGAAAGACCACAATAATACCTTACCTACAAAGTGGTAGCTTTCTAATGATCTAAGGTCATACAGATGTTCTCTGCCACTGGTTACAACCCTCTCCGATCCATTCCTGATTAGATGGGCCAGCAGTAGCAGGGACTGAGGAAAAAGACCCACAAAAGTAGTTAGAGCAAATCGTGCTTTAGATTTAATTCATCCGACCTGTTCAAGCTGGGATTTCTGTTCCATGGACATCAGATTTTTTCCCTCTCTCAAATCAGAGAATGTTAAATAATTTGAGGGATTAATGTTTCAATTAAGGGTCAACTGCTTTGTTTTTTGTGACGAACACAAGTGTGTTAAAACATGTGTTCGTATGATGTTAAGGTTTGTTGCTGAGACCTGATTCTTGAAAGTAAAAAGCAGGAATTCTGGAGTTAAAGTTAAAATTAAATCTATGTTAATTTGATATGGGTCAGGTACAGCATTTTAGACCGAAAACTGTACTGAGTGTGAAGGCCTTCAAGCCTTTTGTTATAATTAAGCACATGTATTTGTGGGATATTGCAACTGTGCTCTGCCACACCTTGTAGACTCTCCTCCAGTTCTTCTTGTTGTCCCTCAGCATGCGAGCCCACAGCATGTTCATCACCTCTGGAAACTGCTCATACATGAAGGTGGCTCTGTTTACACAAACATTCACAGAAGACAAAAAAAAAAGAGTGGGACATTTTCCTTTTACTGATAAAACGTCTACTTTAGTCGTGCATGACAGCTAACAATGGACTGGTAAGTCTTTGAACAGCCTTTAGCCAAAGACTCTTTTGAACTACAAAGCCCCAGGAAGTGAACTCAAGCAGCATTTCAGGAACTACAGGTTCCCGGACCACATTTGTGTTTGTATATCTACGGCATACTAAGAATTGCAAAGATTAGGCAAATCAGACCAATACGGGCTGAAACAATGACGGCCACCAAGTCACATTGTGCATGACAAGACAACAACACTGTGAATTTGGGCGGTTTCAGGTAATTTTCTTGTTGTTTGCAATTCACTGCTACGTGACTTCAGTGTCCTAATTAATGTTAAAAAAAAAGAAAAAAAAAAAGGAAGAGGTTGAAAGTGAATAAAAAGTTTAGGGAAGGGAATAATTTACAAAATATTTTAATACTAATAGTAAGTCTGAGAAAAGTTAGCATTAGTTCAGAGTAGTCCCAAGTCACTAAGATCTACTCATTGGTAATCAAATAATGCATTGCATTGTGGAAAAACGTCAAATGAATTTTTAAAATTTTTTTAAATTAAATATTGTTGATGGTAGCAAGATCATAAAAATGCAGTTGACTTTCAAATGAATAAAAACAATCAAGCACCAGTGGATATCATGCCTCACATAACCCCGCACCTATAAAATAAGTCTGCAGTATTGATGAACTTTGAATACCTCCCTGTCTGTCAGAATTAATAATCAAAATGCATTCTTCAGACCCTTTTTAATTGACAGCATATAAAGTGAACAGCAACACCGACTGTGTTAAATAAAGCTGGTTTCTTGCCCAATACTGGATTTCCAGGTGTATATAGGTGCTATATGTTGTACGTCGCTATTGAAGGTTGATCTGTGCTGTCAACTGAAAATAATAAAAATATTTGCATATCTTCATTTAATACTTATTTTATTGTGTCAAACACGCTACATCCAGTTCTACAGTATCTATCAATCCATTTTTAGTGCACTCGTACAGAGGAGGACTTATCAGCCAGTCACTGAAGACACAGTGAGAAAGTTATTTCATGAAACATGGCTATGCACTAAATTGCGTTCCTTTTAAAAAAAAAAAAAAACTACTTCCAGTACATACTGCAGCTGCCCTTACAAAGTATGCATTCAGAATACACACAAAATGTAAGCATACTACTTCATCATAATAGAGTTCCTTAAACTTTGACAGTCTTGCTCATATATCTGTCAGTCAGTAATGCAAAATGAGCCGTCATCCACTTGTGCGCTCTGGAGAGCTTAAGCTTGTTTATACTACACACTATGACATATGTTGCGTAACTTCCGCTGGGAAGAGCACTGTGGCCAGTAAAGCATGCTGGCTTGCACATTGCCAAATGCAGTCAGATGCAGTAGCACATCCTGGTATTTTAGCATACTGCATTGACATACTAGATATTGAGATTACTGTTGTTTCCAGGTATACCATGTAGTATTGCACAATGGGCACTGGGACACACCCAGTGAACCACACCCATTTTTATGTAATTCTTTGTCAGAGTGCCATTTACACTTCTAAAAGTAAGATAAGATCCTTTGTGAATAAAGGCCCAGAGATATATCCAAAATAGCAAGGATGTTTAAGTGTTTTCTCTATTTCCTTGTCTGCCTTTAGTATTTAATCACCATAAAACGATTATGAAGTAAAGTTTGATTCTCGGTATATTTTCTGTTTCTCTGACTCAGGTAAGGGGCACAAACATCAGTGAAATATCAATGACAGCACAACAAAAACTTTCGTTATCTATCGCCCAACTCTGATGCCACAACCAGTGCTTGCAGCATTTTGAATTAATGTCGCACACATGTTGTAGCAGACATGTGGCTGAAAGCAATTCAGCACTGCCAAAAGTAGAACAGTAGATTCTGGCCTGCAGAAAAACACTACCTTGGAAACAGGGACTTTCGCAGGCAGGGCTGAAAACTTTAAATAGGTTACCATCATCAAAATGGAAGAACAGTTCCTGGAAATGCAGCTGAAAAAGGCCTAAGATAGTCTTTCTGTGGTTTGCTCTTATTTACAAATAACCTTGGTGTGTTTCAGCAGGACATGTTGAAGAACACATTGTGTTGTCCTTACCTTGCAATTTCACTCATCAGCTGTCCTGATGGTCCCCAAGGGTCGTCATTGGTGGCCTCTCTGACCTTAGCTTCCACCTCTGAGTAGTTCATCACCACATTGGTTCTATACAGTATGAGAAAGGACAAAAACAAACTTCACTGCACAGATCAAGTGTTCATCATGGCGTTTGGTATTTCAGCTCAATATACGTGGCTGCCATTAAGACCAAGAGCATGGACAACAGATAAAAGGTGCTCTTATGACAGCCACGCCCATGCACTCGTCCGTTTAGACAGTAAAAGGACAATAGGGAGTGCTTGTGTTTGTGGTCTCTAACTCCAACTGACATATCAAAATCTAAAACAAGGAACTAAAGTTGCAAATATGCACCCCACATAAATCCATGAATGGAGCCTAAAGTGGGGCGAGGTAACAGGGTTGTGCTGACTGTGGTGAGCTCTTGTCCGCTGATTTCCTGAGAATCATCAGGTAGAAAAAGAAGCTCAAATGGGAAGAAACCAGAACACCAAATCGTAGCTCTCTAATAACTTCAGGCTAACAGCAGGTGTGTTTTGTAAATTATTACGTTTCTATACTTTATAAGGGCTTACGGCAAAAACACACAAACAATAAAAAAAAGCAGAATCAACAGCTGTGTCTGTACTTATCAACAGCTATGAACATATTCGCAATCATGATGAGTGCCGAACTAACAAAAGCAAATCCAGCATTGGCTTGTATCTGTTAAATCAGAGGTTTGAAGAGATACTGAGAAAGACAGGATTTTTTTTTAGGAAAGAAATATTCTAGTAATACAACATGGGACCATTTCTGCTGTTTAACTGTCTGTTTACATCAATTACTTTACATTGTTTGGAAAGGACACCTTTTTCCAAGGTATTCTTAATCTCAATTTGACTATTCCTGATTTGTAAATAGACATTTAATCATCAATCTGATATGTGTTCAAGAATAACTGGACAAACTGGTTATCTGGTCAATTTCTAGAATGTGTGCTGGTGGGGAGCGGTGTATCCAGTTCCAATGCATTGTCCCAAGAGCATGTGTGGCCAAGCTGTTTTCCATCACCTATGCACATATTCATTTTCTTGTCTATTAGTTTACATAAGAATGGTTTCTTTCAGGATTACAGAAGTATAATCAATAACTAAACAGGCTTCTTATTTCAGATAATTAAACAAACCCTGTCACAGCTTTAGGCAAAACAGCGAGGCAAACAAGGAATTTGAAACTTGCACCTCCTCATCCCTCGCTACTGCCACATCAGCAATAAAATGTACAGGGCCTGAAAGAGCAGCATTGATTTGATGGTAGGGTTAACAGGGATACACCCTCTCTGCGGTTCTGAAGACAGGCTGTATTACTACTAAAAGCTGTAGGGTATGGTTACCACTCTGACAACATACACTCTTTTGTAAAATTCGATCTACACCAAGAAAAGTATTTGAAAACTACCCTGCCAGGTAGTTTTTCAAAACTGATTAAAACCAGTCTCCAAGCTGGATCATGGACTGCAGGAACTATATGTGCTGAGGGGTACCAGACGCACATGACACTTAACTCTGATGGGAATATTCTTCATATAACACTTGGTTCTGTCCCAGACAAGACTTTATGTATGTTTGGAAACGTGTCCATCATGTTGTAGTTCAGAATTAATTCATTTAGTTTTTATTACGTCGTGTGCTATGTTTCTTATTTCATGTATCCTGCATGTATCAAGCTACATAGAGGATACTGCTAAGGGTTTTTTTTTTGGCATGAGTAACAGCAAAATGTGATGTAGTGATGCAACTTCTTATCTCTTCTCATATGTTGCTGCTGTCCTAGATATCAACTAGATAAAGCGGAAGTTGTGATACTCTCACAGTGACACACCATCACACAGATTTCCGCTGCTGTAGTGCTGTAGGTGTCAAAACATTTCCCTTGCAGTTACTCACAAACCCAGCTGCATTGTAGTTTTCACATAATGCATTTACTGATTTAAAACAGGCTGAAATAATGTTGCTTTGGCCCCCCTTTAGTGTAAATGACTCAAAGTTTGTTGGCACAAGTTGAAAATAAAAATAATGTGCGTCAAAAAGCAGGTGAACATTTCTGAACGTCTCTTTCACCAACCACAATTTCAAGTAAACACAGAGGATAATGAACTTGGAATATTACTTGCAATCACAGAAAGTCAAAGAATGAAATAAATCCTTTTTTTATTTTCTTTCTCCTGTCTAATACAAGAGGTCACACTCCAGGGAGGCAAATACGTCAAAGGGCTGCTTGATGGTTAGTGCGCACAATTATCTCAGGTTGCAAAATTACTCATTACACTTTTGATGAAACTAAAACTTGCGCAATAGCCTCCCTCAGGAAAAGAACATAACAGCACGGTCACGTTTAGTCAGCAGCAGTAACAAACAGTCCCAGGCAGAACAAAGAAAGCACAAACCCCAGAGTGTTGCCCAGGTTCAGTGCTGGCTGGTAGATAGGTACTACATTATTGACCAAGAAGGCTTGAACTTACATCACCATCAAGACTCACCAAAAGTGCACACACATCAAGGACGTGCTGTGTGTGCCTGTCACCTGTTTTGTGTCTTTACAAGCGTGCCTGACAACTACTTGATTATCTCTGATTTAAGTTAAAGCAAAACCTGGTGGGAAGGTAAAGAGTGACCAATCAGTTTTAGCTTTACTTAAATGACCAAATTCTTGCTCTTAAGCCAACAGCTGGACGTCCACCAACAAGTTGCAAAACACTGCAGATAACTGGTCACTTATTAATCATAATAAAGCAGTTCAGTTCTACACTTGCTCTGAGATCTTACAATATGATGACAGCTTTACTATGAGAAGTGCTACACCAACATATTTAATCTGACTGTTTTATATTTAAGGTACGATTAGAGGGGTAATAGTTGCTACAGTCATTTAGAGAAGTTACTGTACTATGACATAACGCTGGACAAACTTTGAGGTGCTATAATGTTTGCTAGCTCCACTTAACAAACAGGCTAAGACGTATAAAAAAAATCAACAAATTGTCTGGGAAGACCTTTGTCATCCAGCCATGCGTTGAAATTGAATGTTCACCGACTGGCATAACTTACAGTATAGCTGCTGTAAGTGTAACTTAGCTACAAGTGTCATTACGATAGTAGCAGTAAAATACAGCTCTCCCTACACTAAAATAAGTTCTTACAAATACTTCCAGACAGTGGTAGCCATACGGCGGTTGGACAACATTAACGTATAACGCATAAACATTCCCTGTTGATTATTCAGCCGAGGAGCTGTCAAACTAGCTTAGCTGGCTAGCCTAGTCAGCTAGCTGCCCCAGCCAACAGGCTACATAATTAGCTCGTTAGCTACGGGAGTTAGCTTGTACTGTCGGAGAAAACGCTCGACCGACACGCTCAGTCGTATCAGAACATTGCAAATGCCAAAGCGCAGTATCGGAACGAGCAGGCAAAACAACTGTGACAAAGACAGGGCACTCATACAGAACACAAAGAGCATTTGTAAAAGTCAGCTAACTAACTCGCTAGCAGCACAACAGGCTAGCTAACTTGTTAGAGTGACGTGACGTCAAAGTTTTGGGTACGTGTCTCTTTCAAACAGGTAAACTACAGACACAAATATCACCAAACAGCCGTGAATTAGTCAGGAGATACTCACGCTTTGTCAACCATCTCCCTAATCTTATACATGTTGGCTCGGTGAAAGGGGGCTCGAAGCCTCGGCGAAACTCTTTACTCCAGACGGACACCGACACCAAACCTTGAACTCTGGAAAGTAAACTATTCTTCACCTCCCTTTCAAGACAGGAGGCGCACCAGCGGCACACACAGAGCTTACTACGGGAAATGCCCGCCTCGCGTCATCAAACCTGCGTTAAAGCAGCATTGGAGTTGTAGTTTCTAGTTTGTGCTCAGGCACCACCATCGATACTGTAAAGTCCATTAACCTTTGACAGATAAAGAACCAGTGGACACAATGGTGCGCAGTTATCAACGACTGTGGAGAGATAAAAAACTACAGAAATGAATGGTGTTGACCGAATTAATCAATTTAAACGTTGAAAAAAAAAGAAGAAATATCCGTTTTTAAAAATTTTAAATTCATGCCATGGATCCCAGCTGCTAAAAAGTCACCTGCTACCTATTTACTTGTCTTCATGCCACATGTAGAGACAATGTAGTTTTGTATACATAAAACACAAGATAATTATGGTGTATAAAGTCATCATTTATGCAGAAAAAAAAATTAAGTAATGAAATTAAGCTAAAATTCTATACACTAAAACAACCCCCCCAAAACACACTTTAAATAAAAATGAATCAGAGCTTGCTCATAGGGGATTTTTGAATTTGTTGGGATTTTGTACAGTCATTACTTAACACATATGCTAATCTCTATAATTAGATATACTGTAGGGTCTTAGTCTTAATATTTATTAGTTAGGTTAATCTCCATAATAAAAAAATACTGCTGGATATCAGCCTTAATATTTAGGTAAAGTAGTATTTTATCAAATTTTTGTAAGGTTAGGTTAACTCACACTATAATTAACACTGTAGGGTCTCAGCCTCATCAATACATTTATATTTTTACAGGTTTTTACATTTGTTAGGTTCACTCATAATGCCAATCTCATTTTTCTACTGAAAAGCACTAGCTCTACATTTACTAGCTTTAAATGTACTATATAAATAACGGTGATTTAATATTATTTATATATCTATATATTATATATCTTTGTTGAGGACAGGTCCCACAATGTTGTCTGTCTGTGATTACATGTTGTGTTGTTTTGTTATTTGCGAACAGGTCACTCTTGAGAATGAGACCCCGTGTCTCAATGAGATTACCTGTATAAATAAAGATAATTATAATAATAATGTCTATATAGCGATTTACTGGAGTATCAGGTGATATATTGTCTGATGTTTTCTTTGTATATTGGCATCAGTGTAAATGTCAGCCAATAACCAACAGAAGAAAAATGTCAAAAGATCTGGTATAGACCGAGCTTGTGTTGTAATGTTACAACAGTTTACCATTAGTGAGCATGGAAAGTTTTCTGTTCTAAAGTGTCCTGCTGCTTCCTTAAAAGAGAACATTTTTAAAAAGTAAGAGATTCTTGCATATATATACATACACAAGCATATCTCTATACATACTATTATAGGAAAATTTAAAGACTGTATTTAGTAAAAAAAAATAAAATAAAAAAAGTTCTTAACTTTGTCAATATTTCCATATGGTGTGTCTTTTTATGCTGGAGGACACATCATCAGTCTAATAGGCAGTCAGTGCCTTAGTGGAGTATTTCCACTTTCAGGGTTTTATATGTAACAGACATAAGGAACCAATCATGTCATCTTGCAGGTCGGGGCTTTCTGTATCATTATACTTCTTCAGAACCAGCATCTAATTACATAACTGCAACTTGCCCTTTGTGTAGCCTAGAGCAGTTTGAGGCCTAATCCTGATCTCCACACAGACTTAACTGATGTCACCTGGTAAGTGACTGAGTGTGAGAGGTGGCAATGACTCAAAATGGTATTAATAGGAATTGGACAACACTTTGTGACATACCTCTTTCATCACCTTAACAACGCCAGAATATCTTTCACACTATTATGTGTTTGGGAATTTTTATTTTATGTTTTTTTTTAGTTATGTTCATGATCATGGCACGAAAAGCATTATTGGAATTCATCATCCTATCATCAAGGACAAGCAGCTACACACATATCTGGCTATGAATCATCAGTGAGGTATGTGTTTATACTGATGTGTAAGCTTAGTTTTGCTTACGACGTCGGGGTTAGTTGCTCCTTGCATACGTGTATGTTTACCTTTTTTTTTTTTAAAAACACTTCTTAGTTACCCCGTGTTTAGTGTTACAACATTATGAACTGTGGGGAACTACCTCAGACACACTCTGCAGGACTGCAGACTTGTGGAAAGTGCATAAAAGGGCTCAAAATGCACTTGATGATTTAAGGATTGGGCTGCAAGGTGGCGCAAGTTGGTAGCACTGTTGCCTCGCAGCAAGAAGGTTGCCAGCTCACGTGGAGTTTGTATGTTCTCCCCGTGTAGCGTGGGTTCTCTCCGGGTTCCTCCCACACAGTCCAAAAACATGTTGAGGTTAATTGGTGATTCTAAATTGTCTGTAGGTGTGAATGTGAGTGTGCTTGGTTGTCTGACTCTAAGTGTAGCCCTGTGATAGACTGGTGACCTGTCCAGGGTGTCTCCTGCCTTCACTCTGAGTCAGCTGGGATAGACTCCAGCCCCCTGCGACCCCAGTGAGGATTAAGCGGTGTATAGATAATGGATGGATTTGAGGACTTTGAGATTGGGCCTTACAGTTAAGCAGAGCCACTGGTGAGCTGGTGTGCTCTTGCTGCAGAGTTACATCTAAGCCATTTTAAGTCTCAAAGGGATCATTTTAATGGAAAAAACTAACAACAACAACAGAAAAATCTAAATGCATAACTTTAACAGATGACAGGAGGGATTTTAGATTTTTGCTCCCTCTATTTGTATTAAAATGTAGTATTGATTTTGATTTCTTTCAGTAACACCATTTCTACCCTCAACGTACTAATTAATTCCACTTTTAAAATACATGCTTTGGCTTTGCCTTAACACGGCTTATTGCACTATTGCAATTTGTTTTGTCCAAATGTGCTCCAGCTTTCCCCAAAACTAAGGCCTACATCACAGCCAGCAGGTCAGCGCCCTGTGTGTTCACCATCCCTCCTCATCTGGCATTCAGGCATGCTACAATGACCCAGTGATGCTGTGTGACAGGCCAGGCAGGGCACTGGCTGTTTGTGTCAATCCAGATCAATCACTCCCTCTTCTGGACGGACAACGCCATCAACGCGCAGAAAGGTCACCGAGTGTACTCAAGCCAGGCCTGATGTGGTGAGCGGTGAGGTCAGCGTGGTAAGTGAACATCCTTGACTGGCTGAGTGTCACATTAAATATGGATACGGTCAGCTTATCTGTAAGATAAATTGGTTTTCCAGGGTTGATTTTTTTGTAACTGAAGAATTAAATGATCGGCAGTCGTCATTTCATCCATCCTTGAAATATTTTTCTTTTCCTTTTTTTTTTTTTTTTAAACTCTCTTGTGACCGGGCGTGTACAAAAAGTATTAAGGCTCTTTGTCGTATTGATTGATATTCCATTGGGCAATATAAGCCCTCAGATGCCCTACATTCGACAGTGTTTCTCTAATGATACATGTAAATATGGCCCACTGCTTACACTTCCACCGGAGAGCAGGAAGAAACAACACAATAGCGAAAATACAGCCCATTTGAGAAAAAAACAAAAAAAACAACAAGAAACAGCACTTAACAGCCCAGAATGCACTGCACCCAAGGGAGCAACCTCAATTACTGTTACACGTCCGAAAAGGAGAACTCTAGGAGAAGTGATTGCCGAGATGGAAATGGCTGCGTGTGTGTTTGTGCATGTGTGAGTGTGTTTTTGTGTTTGTGTGTGGGTCGGGAGAGGATGGATAGAAAAGCACTCAGTAAAAAGATCTTTCAGAAACACTTTGCCTCGGTGACGTTGACGCGAGCTGTTGATTGACGTGCACTTCTCGACAGAAACCAGAGCTATCAACCTATCTGCCACGCATTAGGAATGGCACGGTCCTCGGGGAGGGGCCTAAGTGGTAAATGATGTTGCTCAAGACACTCTCTGTCAACAACGTGTGTGTATTTGTGACTGTGTGACTGCTGAGGATGGCAAAGTATTCAATCAGAGCTTTGATTGAAAAACCCTTGTGTCCTTAAAGATCAGAATTCTTCACACTGACATATAGGAAACATGTGTGTGTGTGTGTGTGTGTGCAGAGGCTTTGTTTTCAATACAGTTTAATAATGTTTTGCAGTCCGGGGAAGAAACTGAACTGGCAGAAGGATTAATTGTCAAAATTTGATCTGAAGCAACATTCATGCAGTTAAATTGAACTGTCAACGCAAGCTTTGGAATGATTTAATTTTCAAAAAGATAGAAAAAAAAATTCTCCGCAAGAATTTGTGCAGACCTACATTCTCTCATTGGATATGGAAAAAAAAAAAGAGAAAAAAAAAACGTCAGCCTTTCCTTGATATTTCATATTTTATAACCGCATTCCATTCATCATCTTGCTCTCCAGTTGATCATCAATTTGGTCTACTGAGACCAACTTGTCACTAACAACTTTTGAGTTGCAGGAGATGAAATACTGAGGAAGATAAACACGATGTAATGGTAACACAAGCAGCACTAGGGGGCACTCTGACTTTTCTGGAACTGGGGACTGCTGAGTGTTACAGAAGGGTGAGTGCATTCAGCTTCTGCACACAAGCGAGTGTGTGTGTGTGCGCGTGTGTGTGTGTGTGAGTCGGCCCGACCACTGGGAGTCAAGGCTGTGTGTTTACATGGCTGAAGTTCCCATGACAAATGTGGTCAGAACATCATCTCGATTTGGGAATGTGCACAAAAAAAGACGCCGCTTCTACAACTCCGCTATTATTCTTTCTTTGCAAACATGTGCTTCCAATCTCTCCGAAACACTCAGTGTTCTTTTTCTTTGCCGTTTTTACAATGTCATTACAAAACAATGTTCTTTGTTTTGCACATTAGCTATGAATTAGAAAACCCGCCCATCTTTGTGCCCATAGAGCAGTTTCTGATCTGTGGAGTCACTTGCTGGGGCCCTGCTTTCCTCCTGTCAGTGCAAGGGTTCTTTCACTGCTGTTATATTTCAGGCTGTTATTGTTGGCCCTCCTGCAGCCCCGGTAAGATCTTTAGTCCTTTTCC